GCCATCAGAGGGGCTGTGTACAAGCTTGCACAAGCTGTGGTGCAATCGGAACTTTGGGCTACAGTTTCCTGTTAGGGTCTTACAGGTTGCACGATGGTACAGAACTCTGTGCGACTGACCCATTGGGTGTATCACTGTTGCGGCTGTGCCACTGGCAAAGCCAGGCAAGCTGTGAGGACAGAACTAGAAGAGCATCGGGTGAGAGACACAACTTGCCGGGATGTAGTTAAAGACGTTGAAAGAATAGTTTACATGGTACACGATGCAGCTGAGAATAAAGCTCTTGGACAAGAACTCAGCTTCCTGAGTGAATTAAAAGAAGACATGGAATCCCCAAAGCTGTAAGGAAGGAGACAGAGGGACAGGCTGAGGAGTCCCAGGGGACCCCCTGTGACAATGAATTATACACGACTGTGAGCCATATCAAAAGATAAAGTGCACGCACTTGCACACGAGCCCCAGCGAGTGTGGTAAAAAGCCAGCTCTCAGAATCAGTTCTTTTCTGTCACCTTGTGGAACTCTGATCTTCTACATCAGGGTCTCCACCTGTAGAGCCATCTTGCTGGACTGCTAGCAGCTCAGAAAGGCCACATCCACAATCTACCTGAGTGCGTGGTGGCTTGTAGGTAGCCATCCGCTCCTTGTCTGACCTGGCTCCACCCATTCCTCCCAATCCCCTGTGGCTGTGGATACAAGTCCTTCCTAAGTCACCTAAGGCCACCCCCGTGTCTGTGTGTCTATGTCAAGTGATCTCTTCCTATCTTCATGATATCGTGTCCCCCCCCCCATTGTCTTTCCCCCAAAAAAAATCCAAGATGCTTGTCTCCCTTCTGGCTTACAGTACTTGAATCTCTCCTACATTCTTCTCTGGTCACCCTCACCGACACAGCTCCTGGGTGTGTAGGACGGAGTCAGCCTTCAATCCCACTCAGCTTCGGTATGCCAACCTTCAAAGATGACTCGGGGCTGGAGAGATGGCTCCGTGGTTAACAGCACTGACTGCTCTTCCTAGATGACCAGATTCAATTCCCAGCACCCACATGGCAGCTCACAACTATCTGTAACTCCAGTTCCAGGGGATCTGACACTTTCGTACCAATGCACATAAGATAAAATTAATTATTAATTATTAAAAAAGAGAGATGACTATCAGGACTGTACACACCACACACACACACACACACACACACACACACACACCACACACACACACTCACACACACTCACACTCACACTTAATGTTAGAAAGGCCATGGAAAACGGCACGACCTTCCTTTGTTGCAGCCTTCAGTCCCCCTCTCAGCTGGGAATCACCCGTCCTGTAACTAATGCTCTCTTCCCACTGACGACGAACACCCACCCACTCTTCCTTATTTTCATCTCTGAGGTCTGGGGTTCTCTCTTTGATTTAGGCCAGACTCTCACAGTGTACTTCTGGGCCTCCCTCCTCCCCTCCTCTCCCGTCTTCCCTCCTCTTACCCCACTCCTCCACACGCCTTCCTTCCCTTCTTTTTTCTCATCCCCCTCCTCCCCGTTCTCTCCTCTTCTCCATTTCCCTTTCTTTCTTCAGCCTTCCTTCTTCCTCCCTCCATCTCTCCCTTCCTCCTCTCCCTCTCCCTCTCTCCCCCTTTCTTCTTCCCCTTCCTCCTTTTCTCCTTCTGCCCTCTCTACCCCCCTTTCTTTTTTGCTTGTTTTTAAGTCAGGGTCTCACTGTGCAGCTCAGGCTGGTTTCAGAGCTGTGACTATCCTCTTGTTCCTCACCCCATCCCGGCATCTCTACTTTCTCTAGATTTACTTGCTCTGTCCCTCAGGGTTATGGTCTCTCTCCCATCAGGTATTTCCTTTCTGTTTTCCCCTGACCCGAACACCATCTTCCATCCTGTCTCTCTGGGCTTCTGTTCTGCCCCCTACTCTGCCGTTCCCTTGTGCTCAACAGATTTGCTTAAGAGCACGAACTGCACTTCCAGAAAATCCAAATTCAGCTCGTATCACCGGTATCTCAAAACTGCCTGAATCTTTTGCTACAAAGGATTTTTCTCTTCTAGGCTCTGTAAACACTGTGCTCTCTTGCATAGCGCCCCCCCCCATACAAATAATTAATTACAAATCAAATTTTTCTTTAAAAAACTCCACTCTTGCTAGGCAGTGGTGGCGCACACCTTTAATCCCAGCACTTGGGAGGCAGAGGCAGGCGGATTTCTGAGTTCGAGGCCAGCCTGGTCTACAGAGTGAGTTCCAGGACAGCCAGGGCTACACAGAGAAACCCTGTTTTGAAAAACCACCACCACCACCACCAACAACAACAACAACAAATACCCACTTTTTCCCTCCTGCTAGTTTTTTTGTGTCATCTCATAGTTACCTCACCAAGCTCCCCACCCCAAGTTTTATTTTATGTGCATGGGTATTTAGCCTACATGTATGTGCGCCACAAGTGTGCAATGCCAGTGGTGACCAGAAGAGGGCGTCGGATCCCCTGAGACTTTAGTTACAGATCACTGTGAGCCACCATGTAGGTATTGGGAATTGAACACAGGTCCAGTGAACTTGACTGATGCTTCATCTCTTCATCTCTTCTGGGGCTCTCTACTCCCCTCCTCTCCCGTCTTCCCTCCTCTTACCCCACTCCTCCACACCTCTTTCTTGCCTTCTTTGCTCCCTCTCCTTCTCTTCCCCTCCTGTCCTCCACTCTTCTCCCTTTCCCTTTCTCAGCCTTCCTTCTTTCTTCCTCCATCTCTCCCTTCCTCCTGTCCCTCCCCATTTCAACCCTCCCCTGATTTTCTTTCTACATTTCACGGTGACTATTCCCCACCTACGGGGGTAGTTTCTTCTACCCTGAAGGTACAGGTCCCTCCCAGCCCCCTTGGCTGAAGCCACACCCTCCTACTTGTGCTGGACTCGCTCGTGAGGACCACGCATGCGTCTTTGCCGGCTTCACAGATCTTCATCTTCCCGCTGCATGTGTGCCCCGAGCCTTTGCATACCTCACAACTTAGAGGGCACCCTGCAGCAAGGAGAGCAGAGAACAGGGTATGTGGTCATGGCTAGGATGGTCTTCAGACCGTGACTTGGGCTTTGGAGCTCATAGGGAACGAGGAAAGGTGACTTTTCGGGAGGGACTGGGCTCTTTCTAGGTTTTTCACAGGTGAGACACTGAGAACTGTTCAGGGAACTGTCCGGAGTCAAGGAAGCGGTGGCGATGCCAGTGAAGTGGCGTTCAGGGCGGGAAACGACTCTACCACAGAGCCTGTTTTACTTAATAATTACAAGGCTTGGGGACTTTGGATGCCAGGGTCCCCTGAGCAAGCTCAGAGGCAGGGAGGGGTCGCGGCAGAGGTGTCTATGGAGCTTTTGTAAAATTTCAGGTCCAGCTGGTTCTTGGGGTGTGGAACTCACCTCCCTTAGGAAGGTACGACAGACGTCTGGTAGCTCAGGCAGGGGTACCTGACTCTGAGGACTGTGTCCTAAGTTTGAAAGGGAGACTGGGGCCCAGAGGGATCACTGCCATGAGTTCCTTGGTTCTGACAGAGGAGGAACCTAGCCATTTGGGTCACAGGGACAGTGAAGCTGGCTTGGAGTACTGTTTCTAAGTAGAGGATTAGGACGAGGGCCTGAATCCCTGTAGGTCCAGAGACAAAGCCATCTCTCTCCTTCTTACTAATTTTAAAGTTTGCCTTTGATGGTCAAGCTTTCTCATCTGTTTTCCTGGAATTCAGATGCCATGTTTTGAGACCCTTCTCGGGGGACAGACCATACAGGGCCTGTCAAGCCTTCTCAGACCCCAGGTTACCTCCTCTCAACTCTCCTAAATCTGATTTCTCAGAATAACCCTCTCTTGAGGACATTGCTCAATGCCCTCTGAGGTACCAGGAAGAGGGCCAGGTCCCTTTGTCACTTACCGAGACCCAGGAGGGTATACAGCAGTGTGGAGGCCAGCAGGAAGGTCCTGTGTCTTCTAGACAGAGTCATGGTGTGTGAACCTGTAGTCTCAGGTCCTTGGCCCTTATAGGAAGCTGGGGAAGGGCGGGTCTGGTCCCACCTTCACCCTGAGGTGAGAAATAGCTGAGCTCAGAACCCATGGCAGTCTTCCACAGCCTCCGGGTCAGAGCCACCATGCCACCATCCACAAGAAAACTGAACAACTGGGACCCAGCCCTTTCCTGTTCCGCGGCCCAAATTTCTTCCACCTGGACCCAGAAGCTCACTTATGTATTCAAGCACTGTTTTTTTTTTTAATTGTTGTTGTTCACACATCTTAAGGTAGGAGTTGGGTGATTTAATTCCCTGAGGGTGCAGAGCAACTTTGGAGACTGGCATCCCCTCTTCTCCTTTCCCAAGGAGGCACCCAGCGTGGGTTGGGTCCTAACCTGGTAGAGCTCAGCATGTCTAGGCTCGTCCTGCGGGGGCCGGGCGCCTTGTCGCCTTTCCTTTCTCTTTCGTGTGCCTGCCTCACCCTCATGCTTCTGTATTCGAGCTGTGTCCAGCTCCAACCCCACCCAGGGATGTGCCCCCGGGTCTTGAAGGGATCGAACAAAAGAGGTCCTGTCAGCAGACATAGACGGACGAAGATGGCGACACATGCTTACAGGGCGTTGGGAAACCAAGGTATTTGTGGAAGCACAGCTATGCTGTTCGTGAGCGCACGCGAGTATAATTTGTGCATAAATTTGTATTTAAGATCTTTCTCCCTCTCTTTTGGTGTCAGATCAAGAGCTAAGAGAGGTCTGAGATCTCTGTCGGCCATCTATCTGTCTATTATGTGTCTGTCAATGTCTGTCCGTCTGTCTGTCCGTCCGTGTTTGGAAGGAGAAGGGGACCAGAGCGTGTCCGCAACAACAGGTGGAGGAGATCTTATTTCAAGCAGGATGCAGGCTTTGGGAAACTCTCAGCTAGCTTCAGTGTTTCTAAGTACGGCTTCGGTTTGGTTGGTGACCTCACGGTCCAATGAACGGAGCAAATTTCACGCAGGACCCAATCACTGAGGCCTCTCCTGTTGCTAGGCTCCCAGGAAGCGAGTCTCCACGTTATCCCGCAGCGGAGGCCGGAGAGTGGTGGAATCAGAGAGAGGCGGGGCCGGAGGGGGAAACGCCGGTTGCTAAGGGGAACCGGCGCGTCGCTCGCCGAGAGGCCCCAACCGAGCATGCGCAGTGTTGACGTGCGCGCCGGCGCGCCGCGGTTTGAAAGGCCCGAGCCTCTCGCGCTTGCGCACTGAGTCCCGTGCCGGGCGCGCTCCCCCAATCTTCTCCCGGGGCCCCCCCGGAGCTGGAAGCCTTCTTCTCCATTCTCTGCTCGGTCGGGCGTCCACGGGCGTGGACATGCCGGAGATCAGCCTCCGCCACGTCGTGTCCTGCAGCAGCCAGGACTCGGTGAGGGGCTGACGTGGGAGCGGCGGGGAGACGGGCTTCCTGAGGGAGGCTGAGGACTTTGGAAGCGCAGGGGGAAAGAAACTTCGTGGGGTTCCGAGGCGGGGTGCGGGTGGGCTTTCCAGAGAATGGACGCACATTCCGAGAGAGACGGGCGATTAGGGGGGTTTGGGGCCATGGTGGAGGGTGAGGACAGCGGGGGAGCCTGGGAAGTTCTAACTGCGAAGGAGAGCTCGGTGGGAGGAAGACTCGAGCCAGGGTGTGTGTGCGTGTGCGTGCGTGTGTGTGCGTGCGTGTGTGTGTGCTTGTGTTCGTGTGTGCGTGTGTGTGTGTATGTGGTGGGACCCGCGTGAGGTCAAGTGTGAAGTCGGCCACCCCTGGGGAGTTTAAAAATTCAAAAGTTATTTTATTTTTAAAACTTCAGCTTTGCCGGGCGGTGGTGGCACACGCCTTTCATCCCAGCACTTGGGAGGCAGAGGCAGGCGGATTTCTGAGTTCGAGGCCAGCCTGGTCTACAGAGTGAGTTCCAGGACAGCTAGGGCTACACAGAGAAACCCTGTCTCAAACAAAACAAAACAAAACAAAACAACAAAACAAAATAAAACTTCAGCTTTATTTCAAGACCTTCCACCTTTTCCACCCTTGTTTGCAGACCCATTGTGCCGAAAACCTCCTCAAGGCCGACACTTACCGGAAGTGGCGGGCAGCCAAGGCAGGAGAGAAGACCATCTCCGTGGTCCTACAGGTGATGCTGCCCTCTCCCGCCTCCTCATCCCCGGGGCTGGGAGACCTCAACTCACATTCTATTGCCAGGCTGTGTCATTTTCCGTGGTGGAGAGCTTGCTCGGTTAACTTGCCTGGAGAAGGGGCTTTGAAATCTCTGTGCCCCCTGAGTAGGTGGATTCTACTTCTGGGCCTCAGTTTCATCAGCTAGGACTGTGTCAAACTTTACTGTTTCCAGTGTCCTCGGGACCAGGAAGAGTATCTCCATAGATCTGTTTCATTGTAAAGATGACAACCATGGAGGGGCTGATGCCTCAGGCCTGTAATCCCGGTTGCTTGGGAAATTGAGATAGGATCACAAGTTCAAGGCCAGAAAAGGAAAAGTAAGTACCCTCAGGAGGACTGTTAGCACAGGAATAGGCAGATAGCTCAGCTGTACAGGGCTGGCCTGGAACGAGTCAGACCCTTGGTTCTATCCCTAGTACCACAATAAGAAATGAATGAAACAGGTGTAGGGAGGGGAAGTTTTGTTTGATTGGTTTTATTGTTCTGTTTGTGAGATAGGTTCTGCCTACAGAGCCCTGGCTGTCCTGGAACTTGCCTTCTAGACCAGGCTGGCCTCCAACTTACAGAGATCCTCCTGCCTCTGCCTTCGGAGTGCTGGGATTAAAGGCATGTACCACACCACCGCCCTACTGTCTTTAAGATTTTTTTTTTTTTAATTGAAATTAGTCTTGAATTCCATCTGGGGCAGAGGATTCCAGGTGGATACCATCATGCCAAGCATCTGTCTGTCTGTCTGTCTGTCTTTCCTCCGTTTAGCTTCCAACTCACACATACACAAATACTCAGTACTGTGCAGGCTAGGCAAGAGGTTACTAATTGAGCCATGTCCCCAGTTCTGGCTGACATCTTTCTAACTGCTTTTTAATTGATTTTAAGCTGGTCGGTGGTGATACACACTTTAATCCCAGCACTTGGGAGGCAGAAGCAGGTGGATCTCTGGGTTTGAGGCCAACTTGATCTACAGAGTGAGTTCCAGGACAGCCAGGGTTACATAGAGCAGTGCCGGTCCGGGGTTAGGGCCGTGGGCTTGTTTCTGACAGGTACAGAAAGGGGCTAGAGCGATGGTTCAGTGGTTAAGAGTGCAAACCAGTCTCCCAAAAGACTGAGTTCAGTTCTCAGCACCTGTGTCTGATGGCTTACAACAGCCTGTAAGCCTAGCTCCAGAGGATCTGATACCTCTAGTGTCTGGGGCTTCACCCCCTTTTCATACACATATTAAAAACAATAAAAATGTATCTTTAAGAAAAATCAGTGGGAGAAGAAAATGAGATGCTTTTAAGCACCTGCCCGTTGCCAGGTGGGTGTTGGCCCTCATGATGTTCTGAGTGTCCTACCATAAAGGCCTTGGTTACCACTCGCAAATGGCAGTGCCAAGACTCAGTCCACACTTGAGTGTGGGTGCTCTTGACAGCTTGGTCAGCCTGTTGTATTCATATGCACCGCTGAGCTACAGCCCCCAGCCACCACCACCGTTATAACCACTGACTCTTCTTCCCCTCCTCCCCACAGTGCTGCGGTTCCCAGTGGATGTGGGTCACTGACTTTCCTTGGTGCTAGCCACATTCCTCAGTTCTGAGTGGAGAAGGACTTTGGTGGGGACAAAGAAGGTTGACCTGACAGACAGTTTCTATACTTAACATATTCTTGGCCTCTCTCTTGCTGAGTTGCTCTGGGTTACAGAATGTTTTGAGGATTATAGACATTTTCAAAAAACAAATAAACATGAATCCATGACATTTTCTGGCCAATTTTAGGTGCTTACACATTTTTAAAATCCCTAATCAGAGACTGGAAATGAAAACTAACATTATTCACCATTATAATTCGCCAGTCAGCAGCCTTCACACCTCACATGGCTTGATTCATTCGGTCCTTGTAAAGCCCTATGACCTAACAGACTGTCATTATCCCCATTTTACAGATAAGGAAACCGAGGTCCAGAGAAATTATGAAACCAAGCACCTGTGTTTTAAACTGTGAGAACTGGGTTGCTTAGCATTTAGTTTGGGGATCTGGATTCAAATCCTAGCTCTTACTCATTCTGACCTCAGGCAGATGTTTTTAATTTCTCTAAACATACCCATTGAAAATAAAGACACCCAAGGCTGGGGTGGTTGTTAAAGCCTGGTGACATCATGTCTGCAGAAGTGCTCTGTCTACATGTGGGAGTTGGGATAAAGGGAGGGGTTGCTGATTTCGTTATGGGATGTTGATTCCTCAGGCCTTGCTTAGCATCAGGTGACCCCCACTGATCCCCTGGTACACACTGTGGGAGATGATGTTCAGTTCTGTGAGTGGTGGGAACCAAAGGCAACGTCCAGGGTCTCACGGAGGCTCGTCGGGGGAGAGTCCTCGTGGCCAAGCCCGACAATCTGCGTTCCGTCATGCCATTGGACTTCACTTGGAGAGCACTGACCCACACAGCTTGTCCTCTGACTTACTCATGCACAGGGCACGTGCGCACCCCCACCTGTGGACAGCAGATAGATGAATGTTCGGATGAGCAGACACTCAGTGGGAAAGAGCACAGGCTGCTCCTTCAGAGGACCTGGGTTTGATTCCCAGCATCCACACGGTGGTTTGTGACCATTTGTAATCTCAAACTCAAGGGATCAGATGTCGTTTCTAGCCTCTGAGAGACAGAATACCCATATGCCATAAACATAAAAATCTCAAGTGTTTAAGAAAACATGGGCCGGGCGGTGGTGGCGCACGCCTTTCATCCCAGCACTTGGGAGGCAGAGGCAGGCGGATTTCTGAGTTTGAGGCCAGCCTGGTCTACAGAGTGAGTTCCAGGACAGCCAGGGCTACACAGAGAAACCCTGTCTCGAAAAACAAAACAAAACAAAAAAAAAAAAAAAACATGGGAGGCAACTAGAGGTCATATGCGAACCTGAACACAGTGGTGTAGACCAGGGTACTTGGAGGAGTTCATGCGCCACTTCTTAGCCTAGTGGCTAAGGTCAAGGGTCTAGAGTAGCATCATTTGTTCCCTCATTCACTTATTTCAGAAGCGTGCGTCTAAGCACTTGCTGAATGTGCACACTGTGTGCTCCTGGGTCTGTACGGCGCTGGGCAGCAGGTGATGGGTGTAGTCATAGCTGGAGACCTGCCTAGCGGACCCCACGGCCTGGCTTTAACCCCAGCACTCCACAAACTGGGAGTAGTGCTTTCAGTCTGCCATTCCAGTACTCGGGAGCAGGAGGGTCAGAAGCTCAAGGTCATCTGCTACACGACAAGTTTGAGGTCAGCCTGAGCTACATGGGACCCAGTATGAAGGGCTGACAGAGGCTCGGTGAATTGACTCTATTGGGCCAGGAGCCATGAATACTGGAGGAAGTGGGGCAGGGTGAGTAGTGTGTCCAGCCAGAGATGGTGTGGTCAGGTTTTTATTTAAATATGAGGGCTGATGACTTTTTTGGAAATTATTTCTAGTTGAGTGATGCATGCTTTTAATTCCAGTACTGGGGAGGCAGAGGCAGGTGGATATCTGTGAATTCAAGACCAGCCTAGTCCACAGGGTGAGGTCTATAACAGCCAGGTCTACCATGTCCCCTCCCCCCATTTAAAAAAGGTTTATTTTATGTGTCTGCATGTATATCATGATGTGCATGCCTGGTGCTTTCAAGGTCAGATAAGGGCACTGGATCCCTGGAACTGGAGTCAGGAATGGTGGTGTAAGCCTTGTGGGTGCTGGGAGCCAAACCCCAAACCTCTACAAGAGCAGTAAGTGCCCACTGGTGACTTTTAGAACGTTTTTTTTGTTTGTTTTGGTGGTGGTTTTTGAGATGGTCTCTCTGCAGAGCTCTTGGTAGAACTTGCTATGAAGACCAGGCTGGTCTTGAACTCAAAGAGATCCACCTGCCTGTCTCCTGAGTGCTGAGGTTAAAGTTGTGAAACTTTTTTTAAAAACTACATTGAGCATTTAGTGTGTGTGTGTGTGTGTGTGTGTGTGTGTGTGTGTGTGCCTGCCATTGCTCATGTTTTCATCTTTAGAGGTCAGAGGGCACTTGCAGGCATCACTTTCCTTCCACTCTGGGTTTCCAGGCCAGCATCTCTGTTCACTGAGCTGTCTCTGCAGCCTGGAGTCTGGTGACTCTGAGCAAAAGAAAATGTTCATCCACAGGAAAGGGACAGAGATGTCAGCGGGCTGTGTCCGTCTGGCACATGAGAGGTAGATCAAGAAGGTTGGAGAGCAGGGTAGGACCAGGGCTTCGCCAGGGCTTCTGCAGAGGAAAGATAGGATCCTCCTTAGGTCTGTACAGACTCCTCCTTGTTCCTGCTGAGAGTAACCAGGAGGACTAGGCTCAGAAGCAGAGGTCAGCACCATTAGAGCCCTGGGAAAATCCGATTGCATTTGGCATTTGCCAGTTTGTGGGCAACTGAGTTCATCCAGTGTTAGCATTGGTTCCTTTTCAGTGACAACAAGGAAATTTCTGGACACCAAGACAGTAGACTCTTGTGTGCTCGCCCATTTCCCTGTGTGTTCTCTAAACACTGTTACACAACATTGGTATTGCCACACAGGGCTCAGCTCTCCTGTATCAGCTCCACATACCTCTTTGTCAGCCGTGGCTACTCTGTGCCCAACTGGTCACCTGCTTCCAGACAGGGAGTTCAGTCTCTTTACCAGCCCCACCTGGCCTGGAGGGGACTCTGGGATAGGTCCAGTTGGAATACTGGTGTATCATCACCTGAGTGTCAGCAGTACGATGGAACACATCATACGTGCTTTGTTTTGTTACTGTTTGAGACAGGGTCTTCTTGTGTAATACAGCCCAGGCTGGCTCCAACTCTGTGATCCTGGCATCACGTGTGTCGGGATTTCAGGTATGAGCCACTATTGTTGGTGTGATTTGTCCATTTTTTTCTCATTTTTGTTTGTTTGTTTAAGATTTATTTATTTTATGTATTTACCATTGCTTTCTTCAGACACACCAGAAGAGGGCATCAGACCCCATTGAAGGTGGTTGTGAGCCACCATGTGGTTGCTGGGAGTTGAACTCAGGAGCTCTGGAAGAGCAGTCAGTGCTCTTAACCCCGAGCCATCTCTCCAGCCCTCCTCCCACCTTGTTTTGTTTTGAGACAGGGTCCTAAGACGTAACTATGTCCAGTTTAGAACTCACTGTGTAGACCAGGCTGGCCTTGGACCCACACATGTTTTCCTGCCTGTTTTCTGAATGCTAGGATTAAAGGCACACACCCCCAGAGTCTGCATTTATGTTTGTTCATATGCCTAGTCCCTGAAGAGGTCAGAAGAGGGCATCAAATCCCTTGGAACTGGAATTACAGATGGTTGTGAGGTGCTGTGTGGGTGCTGGGCATCAAGCCTGGTTCCTCTGGAAGACCTTAAGTGCTTTTACCTGCGAGCTATATCCCAGCCCCTCACTGGGGGATTCTAGGCAGGGGCTCTACCACTGAGC